CCTGATGGAAATAAATTAGCTTCTGGTAGTAATGATTAATAAAATCTAACTTTAATCATTTACTTGTTCTGTGGTAGAGCATTTTTGAACTTTTTGTCTTTAAATAAGAATATTAATTATATTCAGAATTTTATTCAAATAATATAACAATAACATTAAACCATGTTTTTAAAAATTAAATTTCTCTTAATCAAGAATTAAAAAATATTTAAAAATCTTAATTATTAAATCTATTGGAAATAATAAAAAAAAATTAAATGATTTATGAATAATGGATATTTTTGTCTCTATATTTAATTTTTGTTTAATCAACCTGAAGGTAAAAGTGATTTTACATTGTTTCATTTATTTCTAAATGCTTATTTCCAAAAGATAAAAACCTTTTGATGGATGTAAGAATTCACATAGAGCTAAAGTTAATTAGTAATTAAGATTATTAGATGCTAATTTAATTGGGTGAGCTTTAATGATGTTAATCCTTTCAATATAAACATACTTCTTGATGATTACTAATAGAGTACTTTTTAAAATCATACAATCTATTTTTTTAACTTAGTTATAATTTAGATCAATTCTCAGATTTATTTTATTTTTTAATTCTTGACATATTTTTTTATTATCTTTGTTATCATATATATCTTTACAATTTATGAACTTAAACAAACCAACAATTCTAACTAATATTAAATAAACTTTCCTTTTAATAATATTGATGATTTAAAGTGAATGACGTTTTATTAAATTACATTCTTCAAAAAAATCATTTCACACTTTATTTTATTTTCTTCGTTGTGCTCACTGTTCTCTGTTTAGATTAATGTTTTAATGTAATATCATTTCAGTTTAGTCTCAACAAATTTAATATTCTGTTCACTAGTCTGAACATAGATTTTTATAATATAAGAGTAAATGAGGTGTATATATAACTGAAATGGAATAAAACTTTAAAAAATAAGAACTTACCTAGTTTTAGAAGTAAAGATGAAGAGTGAAACTAATAAGACAGAATAAACAAAATATTAGATATTGATTGTTATTGTATTTTTGTTGTTGTTATAAAATTCATTTTTGCTATAAGTCTTCTAAAAAGCAACTTCCTTTAGATTTAAATAAAGGTTTTAAATTTTTTCCTTAATGATCTATTAATTCTCCTTACATTATAAGTGTACCTGATGCTTCTAATACAGGATTTTAACAAATTCTAAGTATTGTACGATCAGGATTAACTAAATAATAATATATAATCAATACCATTTGGTAATAATGAGCTATTCTTAAGCGGTATTTAAAACTAAGTAAGAAGATCTTTGTAACGAGTTTCTATTTAGTCTATTTCGTTTGATTTTTTGACATCCCAAAGACGGATAGACTTATCACTACTACCAGAAGCTTATGTATTTCCGTCATGAGAGAAACAGACTGACCAGACACCACCACTATGACCATCTAATTTGGCTTTTTATTATCCTGTTTTGACATCCCATAGACAGATAGACTTATCATCACTACCAGAAGCTAATGTATTTCCATCAGGAGAAAAACAGATCGACTAGACACCACCACTATGACCATCTAATTTGGCTTTTTATTATCCTGTTTTGACATCCCATAAACGGATAGACTTATCAACACTACCAGAAGCTAATGTATTTCCATCAGTAGAGAAACAGACTGATAAGACAGCAGATGAATGACCATCTAATTTGGCTTTTTATTATCCTGTTTTGACATCCCATAAACGGATAGACTTATCATCACTACCAGAAGCTAATGTATTTCCATCAGGAGAGAAACAGACTGATAAGACAGCAGATGAATGACCATCTAATTTGGCTTTTTATTATCCTGTTTTGACATCCCATAAACGGATAGACTTATCAAAACTACCAGATGCTAATGCATTTCCATCAGGTGAAAAATAGACTGATAAGACAGCCGATGAATGACCATTTAATTTGGCTTTTTATTATCCTGTTTTGACATCCCATAAACGGATAGACTTATCGTAACTACAAGATGCTAATGTATTTCCATCGGGAGAGTAACAGACTGACATAACATCATTAGTATGACCTTCTAATTTGGCTTTTTATTATCCTGTTTTGACATCCCATAGACGGATAGAGTTATCGCTACTACCAGAAGCTAATGTATTTCCATCAGGAGAGAAACAGACTGAGTAGACAGTTTCAATATGACTACCAGAAGCTAATATATTTCCATCAGGAGAGAAACAGACTGAGTTAGTACAATTACTATGACCATCTAATTTGGCTTTTTATAATGCTGTTTTGACATCCCATAGACGGATAGACTTATCATAACTACCAGTAGCTAATGTATTTCCATCAGGAGAGAAACAGACTGAGTAGACAGTTTCAATATGACCATCTAATTTGGCTTTTTATAATCCTGTTTTGACTTCCCATAGACGTATAGACTTATCATCACTACCAGAAGCCAACACACTTCCATCAGGAGAGAAACAAACTGAATTGACAGCATTACTATGACCATCTAATTTGGCTTGTTATTATCCTGTTTTGACATCCCATAGACGGATAGAGTTATCGACACTACCAGAAGCTAATATATTTCCATCAGGAGAGAAGCAGACTGACCAGACAGTACTATTATGACCATCTAATTAGGCTTTTTATTATCCTGTTTTGACATCCCATAGACTGATAGACCCAACTACATTACCAGATGCTAATGTATTTCCATCAGGAGAGAAACAGACTGACTACACATATGAATGACCATCTAATTTTATTTTTTATTTTCCTGTTTTGACATCCCATAGACGGATAGAATTATCGTAACTACAAGATGCTAATGCACAACCATCAGGAGAGAAACAAACTGACTTAATTTCTTTGGTATGACCATCCAATTTTTATTTTTTTTTTTTTGTCTTAACATCCCATATACGGATAGACAAATCACTGCTTCCAAAAGCTAACGTATTTCCATCAGGAGAGAAACAAGCTGAGTCGACAGTTCCACTCTAGCAATCCAATTTTATTTTTTATTTTCCTGTTTTGACATCCCATAGACGGATAGACTTATCGTAACTACCAGATGCTAATGTATTTCCATTAGGAGAGAAGCAGAGTGATCTAACATAACTAGTATGACCTTTCAATTAATTTAATTCATGAATTCTTAAGTATTTCCATTTACAATTCAATAATAATGCTCCATTCAGATTTATTCCACTTATGTTAACATTATTAAATATGGATCCACTAAAATTACATCTAACAAAATTAGCTCCCTCCATAGAAGTATTTTAGATGTTTATGTTTTCAAAATTTTAGTTTCTAAGGTCCGCCTTCATTTAAATTAATAAATTTAATGAATTAGACCCACATTATATTAAAGTGCCATCTATGGATGTGAGATGAACTAAAAATTACAGAAATTTAAGGATCCATCTATTATCCTTGATTCTATTAATTAAACTTTATTTGGATTCTTCATTTTCTTCAGAGGAATAGTCTATCTTATTGAAGTCATGTTCTTTAAATTTTATTAAGACTTCTGTGATTTATTTGATATCATTTCTAACAACAGACAATTTCTATTCTATATCAGCCGAAGTGATTACAAATCCTTTTTGTAAGATACATGATTCTAATTGCCTTTGATTGACATTTTCTGAAAGATATCCAATGATGTCTTAAACTTTTTCCTTTCTTAATTTTTCTAATATGACACCAAAAATTTGCTCATCTACATCTTTTATTTGACCAAAGATGTCAGCTAGAGCTTCCTTCTCTTAAAAATGGGCTTGCATATTCTTTTTTATTTTTAATAATGAATTTCTATTACTCTAACTTGAAGTTATATACTGCAAAATCGATAAAAGTATCTTGAGCATTTTTGTAAAATTGAAGTTAGGACTTTTTGTATATTTGAAATTACTTATAGTATATGTTAATGATGCTATTG